TCACCTTCCCCTTACATCTGACACCTTGGCCTGCCCCTCTGATCAGAGAAAGCTGTAGTCTTTTCTTAGTCTTTCCTGGGCTTTGATCCTTCCACCTTCCTTTTCCAGTTTAATATCAAACAATACGATTTTAGATTGGTATCTGATGCCTGGAGTTTATGGAATCTTGGAAAAGTCAAGGGGCAGGTGCCAGAGTTGTGGATCACTCTCACTGGCCGGAAGGGAACTGGTACAGAAGAAAACCTTGCACCACCCAGACCCAGTCTGCCCAGGCCATGGAACATTCCAGATATCACATACTATTAATCCCAACTGCTTCGGGAAAGGAAAGGAAGAAGCTCAGGGCTTATTCAGGTAAGAAATCATCCCATTAAACCTTTCTTTCCCTTCAGAATTGCAAACTTGGTCAAGGGCCAAGACACTGAGTCCATACCAGGTAGGTCCACATTTAGAATCCAGTCTAATATTCCCAGCTGACAGCATCTTTCCCCTAAATATATTCCCCTCTTCTCCCAGCAGGGATAAAGACACAGCCAAGAGGAGGCTCAGAGAGCAACTGATGTGAGCCAAGTTTTCATTTCCAACAATTGCCAATTGCCCCCTTCCCCAGACACACATGGATGAGACAGAAATAGCACATAGGACTGGACAAATCCAAAATCAGAGGAGCAAACAGGTTGGGGAGCTGTAGGCCTCTTTATTAAGTGTTTTCTCACGGGAATGCTTCTTCCTGGACCATTTTAAAGAGCTAATCCTCAGAAAAGTATAGCAATTCCAATATGTTGGTGGCCAAGTCTTTCTTGGAAATAACTGGGCCAAAGTGGTAGGAAATGTGGAATTCCTCAGATTGAACGCTGCTTCGGGCCAGAGTCAGACTCCAAACCAAACAGGCTGGGGAGCAGGGGATGTCAGAGAGTCTGGCCCTGGGGTTCCACCTGCTTCTTGGCGGTATGGTCTCTGATACTTTGGGCCTGGGGCCTGCTGCCTGCGCTGTGCTTCCCACACCTTCTCTGTGGGTTATCCTGGGCCCAGATGTAAGGAAAAGGCAACTCTGAGTTATTTTAGGAATGTTTCATGTTCACTTCCCACAGAGTCCTGGGCTCTACTACAGCTGGGTGAGAGTCATGCTGGGCAGTAAGTGGCCCAGAGGCTCCTGCCAGGCAGTCATCGAGGTTACAGTCACCTTGGGCCACAAGTACACAGCATCGTCCTTAAATGCGCACCATAATGAAATGGTTGCTACTGCTCACAGTAAGCTAGGAAGGTGACCCTAACGACGTGGCCACCCTGACGCTCAGTGATCCTAGCTTCAGCCCTATTCATCAACAGCACTGGAAGAGTGGGGTCTTAAAACTGAAGGGATCAGTGGTCTCCCAGATTGTCTAGGAATTGACGAATGTTTCTGAGACAGAAGAATTCCTGTAGAAATCTGTAAGCGCACACAGATTCGGAAAGCTATGGGTAAACATCTTGTTCACGTCTCTTGCTCCCTGGTTTTGTCCTCTACATCACCAGTGTAGATGACCTTTACAAATCGCACCTTTTGTGGCCTGTCTCACTAGCCCCTGCACTCCCAGAGCATACACGTGCCCACTCCTTGCCCTTGGTGCTTGGGGTTTTGTAGGTGATCCACTCTCCCTCCGTGGCCTTGGTTCTGTTTCTCTAGCCACTTGCTCAAGGTAGGCCTGATGCTATTCCAAACAGTGCTTTGCTGGATTCTTGGGCTGCTTCCCAATTCCTATGGCCAATCAGTGCTAGCATGGCTGGAGCCCTGAGGAGGGCAGGGGGTCTCTGTCAATAATTGGGAGCGTGATGGTTAATTTTATGTGTTAACCTTGGCTAGAACATGGTACCCAGATGTCTGGCTAAATGCTAGTCTGGATGTTGCCGTGAAAGTATTTTTTAGATGAATTTAACATTTCAATCAGTAGGCTTTGAGTAAAAACTATTTTTATGGGTGGGCCTCATCTCATCAATGGAAGGCTTTGAAGAAAAAAAGAGGAAGAGGGAATTCTGCCTCTGGACTGTTTTCAGAGTTGAGCTGCAACATCCGATCTTGCCTGGATTTCTAGTCTGCTAGCCTGCCCTACCCATTTATCTAACCCCACAGTCACATGAGCCAATGCCTTAACTCCCTAACATCAACCAATCTTCTATACACTCATCACTTTAGTTCACTTGTCAATGAAACTGGAGACAGGTGCTCAGAACAATCCGACCTGAATAAATGATCTCTGGTAAGATGGCAGGGTGCTGCCCTATAATGGGGATGGGTTCCCATGCTGCCGCCCGTCTTTCCCTACCCTTGGACCATCAGTCAGCAGCCTGTGGGTTCCTGAACCTCAGTGAGGGGCTGGGAAACATCTGCCTTCTCCAAGGAGGGCTTTGCAAAGAGCCTTCTTCTGCAAAGAGATGGGTCTGTTGTGAGGCTATGGGAAGGCATCTGTGGCTCCAAGGCCTTGCCTAGTCCTGGGTGGCTTGGAATAAGTAGGACAAACAGTGTGGAATACTGAATGATGGCTCTGGTATGATGGTATGTTGGCTGTGCTGTGGTCACAGCTTCTGGAAGAGCGGTGTTGGATAATGCTGCTCTGCTGACGTCCTTATTTCAACAAGTCTGCATTACCTTCTGAATCCTCTGCCTGGCCAATTTTACCTAATAGAGAAAGTACCATAAATGCAGGCAAGAGGGAGTTTTGGTGCTAATGTTTGTATCTGATGCATTTGATGTTACTGTTTTCCGTGTTTGACTTCCTGGGAAGTCAATCAATAATAAAATTCTAAGAGCCCTTGGGGGAAAACCCCTCTAAATCAGGTGACATTCAAGAGACTGCCCTCAGGCAGGCACATCCTGCCATGAGACACGGGCTGACAACTCTGAGGCCTTCACCTCTGGCTTGACCTCTCTCCTGAGCTCCACACTCCAGCAGTGCACCTGCCGCAGTCCAGCACATGCAAAGCCCAGCTCATCTCTCCACCTAAGCCCTTCTCTTCCAGGCCTTAAGCTGGAAACTTGGTTATAATCCTGGGCTCTCCCCATGCTCTGCCAACACCTGGGGCCTTTCCAGCCCTGACTGGAGTGGACAGACCCCTCCATCCCTGTTATGCTCCCGTGGGAAGGCCACCTCCCCATTCTGGCCTGCACCTTCCTATCCTGCTCCACACCCATCTACCACCCACCTTTATCCTGCAGCTGGAGGGGGCTTTCAAAATCAAACCTGACTTCCCAGCTTAAAACCAATCCAGGCCCCATCACCCAGAGGGGAAAGTACAAATTCCTTAGGTCGATAATAAAACAGTGGTAAGTCACATATATTAGGTGTCAGATTTGGTCTCTTTGTCACATGCATTATCTCATTTAACTCCTTGAAAAACCCCTCAGGATACGTATATTGTTACTTATGATCTGCATCCTATAGAGGAGACCAAAAGCCAGGCCAGATACCTGCTAGTTCCAGTTCTTCTTTCTAGTCTCATTTTCTACTTGTTGCCTCTGTCCACTCGGACTCCAGAATACCAGGTGCTGGTGGCACCGTGAGTAGATGCACAGTGTTTGGTCCCCATTCTGTGGCCCAGGTTGCTCGTCCTGCTTGGAGCTCCCTTCTCTCTGCTGGCCAGGTGGAAACCTCAGGAGCAGGGCTGGGCTCACCCTGCCTCTCTCCCTGCCCCGTCAGAAAGATTTTGTTTTGATTTTCAAAAATGCTCAGTAAACTGGACATGGTGGAGCATGCCTGTAATCGGGAGGCTGAGGCAGGAGGATCATGAGTTCAGAGCCAGCCTCAGCAACTTAGTAAGACCCTGAGCAACTCAGGGAGACCCTGTCTCTAAATAAAATATAAAAAGGGCTGTGGATGTAGCTCAGATGTTAAGCACCCCTGGGTTCAATCCCAGGTACCAAAAAAAAAAAAAAAAAGCGCGAGGAAGGAGAGACCAGGTTTGTACTGGCCATCTTCCCACCTTCTAGAGAGTGAGGCTGGCTGAGTGAATGGGCGCTAGGAGGCAAACCATTTCCCTTTCCTCCTCAATAATTGCAAAGTCTCACAGCTTTAACGGCCCACTGTGTATGAAATGGGAAAGTCTTTACTGTCTGTATTATCACATACTTGCAACTAGTGTCTCAGGTGACTTTATCTTTATTTTTTATAGACGAACAAGTTATCTTTATTATTTATTTATATGGGGTGCTGAGGATCGAACCCAGTGCCTCACACATGCCAGGCAAGCGCTCTGCCACTGAGCCGCCACCCCAGCCCCTCAGGTGACATTTTAAGAAACATCCAGACACACAGTGGAAACTCCCTGCCTTTGAAGAAAACCCCTCCCCCCACCTTCCTTTCTCCCTCTTCTCTTCTCCCTTGAAGTGAGGCAGTTCTGGCTGGAATCCTGCCTTTGACATTAGTTAGTTGTGCATTTTGGTTTAAGTTATCTTTATCTTTCTGTTTCCTTAGCTCTGAAAAGAAGATAAAACCTACACTGCAGGGTTCTTCTGAAGAGAGAAAGTGACACTGTAAAGCCTTCAGCACAGTGCCTGGAACAGGAGACTCAACAAGCAGCTGGCGTTATGAATCAGAGTGCTGTGACGCTCTGTCAGGACAGTGCCTTTCCACAGGTCCCCTGTGGGAGGGAGGCTCACAGCATAGGGAACTCTGCAGGCGATGCTTCAGAAGATGGTGGGCTAACCAGGGCAGTGTCCTACAGTGCTCCTTAGGGGGTCTCCCTCCGGAACTCAGCTCTTTCTCCATGTATTATCCTCTCTTTTCCTTTACCTGCAGTGCTGGGGACAGAACTCAGGGGTTCATGCTGCCAGGCAAAGTGCTCTACCACCGAGTGACACCCTTGAGCCCCTAGTTTCATTACAGTGGGTGCTATAGTTTGGGTCTTAAATGTCCCCGAGAACTCATGTGCTGAGTGCTTGTTCCTCAGAGTGGCACTATTGGCAGGTGGTGGCACCTTTTAAGAGGTGGGGCCTCTTTTTTTTTTTTTGGTACCTGGGATTGAACCCAGGGGTGCTTAACATCCGAGCCACATCCACAGCCCTTTTTATATTTTATTTAGAGACAGGGTCTCACTGAGTTACTCAGGGTCTTGCTAAGTTGCTGAGGCTGGCTCTGAACTCATGATCCTCCTGCCTCAGCCTCCTGATTACAGGCATGCTCAGTGGCCTTTTAAGAGGTGACACCCTTAAGCCCCTAGTTTCATTACAGTGGGTGCTATAGTCTGGGTTTTAAATGTCCCTGAGAACACATGTGCTGAATGCTTGTTCCCCAGAGTGGCACTATTGGCAGGTGGTGGCACCTTTTAAGAGGTGGGGCCTCTTGGAGGTCTTAGGTCATTGGGGTTGTGCCCTCAGAGATTGTGGGACACCAGTCTCGTTGTTTCCTGGCCACCATGAGGTGAGCATCTTCCTCTACCATGTGCTCTCACCGTGATGTGCTGCCCCACCACAGACCCAAAAGTGACAAGGCTACTGACTATGGACTGAAAGCTAAAACAAACCTTTCCTCTTTTTAAGTTGACTGCCTCACATATTTGTTATAGTAACAGAGAGTTGACTAACACATTGAATATTTTACTACTCTTAGAATTCGTTTCAAAATGGATGCCCACTGGGGTTTTCATAAAAAGAGCTACAATTAACTAACATTTGCTCTGCACAGGACATTGTAATAATCCTTTACATGTGTTACTTCCTTATTTATTATGTCAAATATATACATTTGGGAATGCTATGCTCATTTAATAATGAGAAAATTGAGGCTCAGAAAAGTCAAGTATAGACTCAAGTTCATGGCTAGTCAACAGCGAAGCTGGGTTCTAACTTAGAGAAGCACAAACACAAGGCAGCCCCAACTGCTCTGCTGAAAATGTGCAGAACTCCATGAAGCATCAAGAAGCCCCTCTAGAGTGAAAAAAAAAAAACTCACTAATTGGAAAACCATCTGAAAAGGAAAACACATACAACTTCAATCCGTTTAACTACTAATAAACTCAAGGAATGGAACTCCAATCCTAACACCTCCCTGGGTGATTACCTTCAATAAAAATGATCCTCAGCAACTTTCTGTAAACTGAAGAGCTGCAACTATCTTTTGCACCGTTGACTTCTCATGAGTGCACTCAGAAGATTGTGTCCGGTGGACACAAAAGGGTTCAAATGTCAGCTTGGGCAGAGGAAGGGCCCTGGCCAGGATGAAATGAAACGAAGACTTGGGTGGATTTCCTAAATGAGGGCCAGCAGGAAGTTTTTTTCCCTGGGAGCACATGACAGACAACATGGTCTTCACTGTGTGGGGGTGGGTTCTTACCATGGGTGCCGAGCTGCCTGCTCACACGTGTATCTTTTATTTGGATCTTTCTCCATCAGATTCCGAATGAAGTCTTTTGCTGTTCAAAAGAAAGATACAACAAGGCATTACTTTGTGGTGTGACATGTGACAACAGGATGCCCCCACATATTCAGGAATGTCATATGTAGCATAGGATACCCAAGACCAGCCCTTCATGGACCCTGCTGTACCTCAGAAACAAAAGGTACCAACCCAGGCTTTGACTCCAAGGGTGACTCGGTGAATGAGGAGACAGCAAAGCCAGTCTGGGACCCTGACTTCCATCTCCAGGTCCCTTGTCACTAGCTCATCTTTGGTTCAGAGAGGAGAAGCAGTGACCAGGTGATCACGCGCCTGTCTTCAGTTCACCACTGCCTCAGGGAGGTCCTCCCCATGGGCTGGACAACGCCGTCAGGTCCCGGGCCAGGTGTGGAGGGAAGCCAGTCCTTAGCGCCACCATCCACAGCCCACTCAGCCCATTAGGAACCCGTGGACATGAAATGAGCCGTACAATGAGGTACTCCCTGGGGAAGGAGAGTGCTCGGGACCCAGGCCAGGACCTTGGCCCAGAAGCAGGATGCTGAGGCCAAGAGGACAAGGTCACAGAAATGAAGAATGACATGGTGTGACACCCTGAAGCCTGTTGTGCTTCAGGTGTGGGAGCACCCTGCCCACCAGACTGGGCCTTCTGGGGGCCCAGTGCTTCTGGTTATGCCTTCCTGGGCTCAGAAGCACAATATTGCCTGAGGGGCTCTTTGCTGCAGGCCTTGTAGGTCTATAGTGTGGGCCTGGGTGTCAGAAGATTGAGGAAGAAGGCAAGGTATTTCCAGTTAGGAGGAAATAAATAATAAATAATAAATAAATAAATAATAATGTGCTCAGCCGAATCAGCTTGTCAGAGACTGTCGTTCCATCTCATCCTCTGGAAGATGATGTGTTACTCCTCCTTGGGGAAACTGAGGCCTGCAGACACTTTGCTACTCTGCCCGGGTTTTGGTTTGGCTCTTTTTCCCTCAGGAAAGGTGGTGAACTTTGTTGGGGATATTTCTGTTTGGTACCATGGCTAAAATGCAGGAGCGGGAGTGAGGGCTGGGGTTTGAATCCCAGCTCAGCTGCTTACTTGCTGTGTGATTCTGGTCCAGTTATTTTACCGTCTGGGACTTCAGTTTGCCCATCTGTCCAATGGGGATAAACAATACCTACTTGATGGGTTATCCTGAGGACCGAGGGAGTGGACACACTAGTGTTCTACACACAGTTGGTGCTCGATAAATGACAGACAATAATGCTTCACTCCCAGGGCATGGGGAGGGGAGGTGGAGGATGAGGAAGTCCAGGCCCTTTGGCAGGGCTCAGGTTAGATGTCCCAAGCCTGTCTTCCATTCAAGCCAGCCTCCAAGTCAAGGCCAAATATATAGCTCATAAAGCTCCCTTGGAAGAGGTCATGGACTAAAAGTTCCTGTCCCCCAGAATTCATGTTGAAATCCTAATTCCCAAGATGATGGCCTTGGGAGGTAGGGCCTTGGGGGACGGATTAGGTCATAAGGGTTGAGCTCTCAGGAAAGAGATTAGTGTCCTGGTAAGAGAGACCCCAGAGAGCTCTCTGCTTGCCTGTCGCCCGTAAGGACAAAGCAAGAAGATGGTCTATGAACTGGGAAGCAGCCCTCGCCAGACACGGAATGTGCCAGCAACTAGATCCTGGACTTCCAGCACCCCGAACTGTAAATGTCTGTGGTTTAATCCACCCAGGCTGTGGGTATTTTTGATCCAGCAGCCCCAATGGACCCAGACAAGAGCCCTGGGACCATTCTGGTTTAAGTGTCCTAGGGAGCAGCAGCGCAGGGCAGACCTACCAGAGTCGGAGATGTCATCCCAGTAGGGAGAGTCGAACTCATATTCTGCCTTGAGGATCTGTTCAAAGAGCTTGGAGTCGTTTTCGTCATAAAAGGGAGGGTAGCCACAGAGCCTGGAAAACAAGGCAGGGTAGGGTCTGAGGGTCTGTGCCTCTGCTGTGCCGCCTCTGCACTTCCCCTGGAAGGAAGAGATGTGACCTACCCTGTCGAGGTCACCTGCGCTCTGCACGCTGCGAGGACCATCTGAGCATAGGAGCCACGTGCTCTATGGGCACAGGTGGCCCCCCAGTAATCACGATTCAGAAAGTAGCAGAAAGGGTTAATCCCGGTGATCATCAGAGGTAAATACATATATTTAAACTCACATTAACTCTACAGTATATTAACCAGAGACCCAGGCATCCTAGCAACCCTAGTGTTATTGATCTTATGTGGTCCCTAATAGATGATGAGTTGGTGGAAAGAATAAAGGAAATATTTTAAGTTTAATATACAATCCAGGGTCCCTCTAGGTTCATTTTATTTAAAAAATTATCATAGGAAGAAAGGGAAATTTTGCCACCTTGAGTACCAGCCTGCCCTGAGTTGCCGTAACCCACCCAGGATTGCCCTTCTATGCCCACCTTGGGTATGGGGAAGGTTATAGTTTCACCCATAAACATGCAATAAGTGTCAAAAGGAGGTGACATGTTTGTGACTCTGCAGTATCAGCCACAGTACCATTTCAAAGTTGGCTTTTAGAAGGTTTAGTTAGGATGTTGGTGAAAGAAACTTATAGATCCAGAAGGACTGAGGATCATCGAACAAAATAAGAGGAACAGAAATTTTGATTGAAATATACTAAATACAATTTTGACACAAAATTGTGCCTTCTGGGGGTCGGGGCGAAGCTCACTAGGAGAGTACATGCTTAGCACGCATGAGGTCCTGAGTCCTGTGTTCTACCCCCAGTATAAAAAAAATTAGTTTAATTTTTCAAAAGCATGGTTTCTCCTTCCAGCTCTGTTCTCAGTCTCTTTACCTCTGGAAGGCCACAGATTCATTTCTGGGTACAAAATTTCCTTTTCTGAAAATAGAGGCCACCAGACTAGAAAATTCCTAATTCTTTTTGGTTTAAGCTACTGCGGCTCTTCTCCCAGTTTGTTCGATTGGCTAAAACAGGTAAAGACCTGGAGAGGGTGGGAGGGAGGGAGGAGGAGATGGCAGGGCCTAGTCCCGGAAGGCCAGGTGCAAAGCTGGACAGCACATATCTGGCTTCTGGGGACAGAAGGTGGCAGCCACCTTGCTGTCCCTGTGCTAAGCCCTGGAACTTCACGCATAGCTCTAGGTTGTTTTAAACACAGCCACAGCCTAGAGACCAGTTTAATGAGAACAAATTAGTGGGAACCAGAAGACTGCAGGTCTGTGAGGATCAAACTCTCAGCCTATGAGAAATGTATTAAGGTGAGAACACGGCGCGGGACCACCCATCTTCAGCTGCTCCCACCAGGAGAGGCACCTGGCACCAGCCACTGCAGAGGGCATGAGTGGTGGCATTTTTCAAGGCTGAGAAACATTCTGCAGGCCGATAAGATTCAAAATCATTTATCCCCACTAGGCCATTTCAGTGGCTGAGTGTTTGGAAAATTTCATTTTTCAAGATTTGCTGCTTTTGGCGAAATGAACAACAGCCAGCACTTCGGAAACCACCAGGCACATACTTCATGCACAAGGAAACCCCAGGCCGCCTGGAGATGGATATGTAAATTTTTCCCATAATGAGGATTTGGGCTAAGTGAAATGTGCATATTAGGAAAAGCAGACAGAGCAAATTGTTAGTTTGTCTTGGAAAAAAACTAAATTTCAGATATGTGAGGTTTTTGTTTATTAAAAACCGAGTATGTTTTACTTTATGGTTTGGCTTTCTTTTCAAGAAAAAAAAAATCTTAAAAAAAAAAAAAATCCCAAGAAAGATTTATTCTTCTGGTGCCAATTTCTTTTCATTTTAGCTCTTTTTTTTTTCTTTTTTCTTTTATTGGCATAGAATACTGTGTTCACACGGGTGTACTGAGGACAGGAGAAAATGAAATGGATCTAGCTTGGAACCTAAGTGAGTTAAAATTAAAGAAGATTTTTAAAACAAAGATTATTAGTAGTTTGTGTGGAGGAAACCCAAAAGAGCGCCCTCTTCTGTTCATATATGGAAAGGGGATCTGGAGCAGTCATGGGGATGCTATTAGCACTTGTAATAATCTTCTTTTTTCTTTCTTTCTTTTTGTACCAGGAATTGAACCCAAGAGCGCTTAACCACTGAGCCACATCCCCAGCCCTTTTTATTTTTATTTTGACACAGGGTCTCACTAAGTTATTTAGAGCCTCGAGAAATTGCTGAGGCTGGCCTTGAACTTGTGGTCCTCCTGCCTCAGCCTCCTAATCCTCTGTTCTTTATGGGTGTTACTGAAGTGTGATTTATTTTTTCATATCAAACCTTTTAAATAATCCTTGATATATAACTCAAAGATGATAAAGCCATTCTCAGTTTTCCAGGCCAAAAAGTTTATGGTTCAGAATAGCATGGAAATTTCTCAACCCGATGATGGCTGTGCCTCAGAAAGGGAACCCACTCTCAAAGGACCCTCTCATGGTCCCCATTGCAGCCATGGAACTATCATCCAGGAAGTACCCTCATACCTTCTAGATTTCCTGTTGCTGTTTAATTTGTCATCCATCAACCTGTGGCAAGTGTGTGCAAACAGACTGCTAGTTCTAGTAGCCTCAGTTGATTCCTTTTGGTGGATTGAGAACTCCACCAAGATAAATACTGCACTATTTTACATACACCTCTCCCCAAGAGCTAAATGTCCCAGACATCTCCCATCAGCCCCTTTAGAGCCACCTGCCCTATGTCCCGGAGGCAGTCTGTATGGACAGGTGAACAAGGGCAGTACTCTCTGACATTGGAGGGGACCAGTCCATGGGGACCACAGCAGAGATGGGGAAGAAGGGAGAAGATCAATGATAAGCCCCTCTGACCTGGCTCTCAGGCGGGTTCACCTTTGGACAGAAGGCTGTGCCTCTCCTGGGAGCATACTCAACTGGATCCTGTCTCTGATCCTGGTAACAAATCCTTCCCTCCCATCCTTCCTTGGGGCCTAGCAGGATTTGATCCCCTCACACCACACCTTTCTGTACAGTCCTGATACCATTCTCATTTCAATGGCCAAGGGACTAGCAATGCAGCAAAGCCAGGGCTCAAGCCCATGCCACCTACTCAAGATCTGTGTTCTTAATTCCTGTGTTGATTCGCTGAAGGGAAGCCGACTTGAGAAGGGAACCTTCTGCTCCAGTCTTGACTTTGAATTTTCTATGTGGGTCATTTGCTTTGCTCTTGCCCCAACCCCTTCATCTGCAAGGAGGACCCTGTGATAATAGGATGCTACTTTTCCAAGCCCAGCTCACACAGTCTGGGGCCTGTTTGCTAAGGTGCTCAGAGCTAGCTCCTTGTACACAAGATGTTTCTTGGTTCTGGATTGAGGTAAAAGCTGAGCACATTACCTGGACTGTCCTGTCCCTGGCCTTCGCCTGACTCTGGCACACCTTAGAAGACTAGTTGGGGTGTTATGAGGAAGGCCTGGCCTCTCTCTGCAGGTGGAGCAGGTGTGTCACAATGTGCTCTCACTGCAGTGCACAGAGCTGTGGTGCTACTTCTCACACTGTCCACGGCCTGATCTGTCCATGAACTCCTAAGGCAGGACCATGCCTTACCTTAGTATATGAATTCTCAGTCCCCAGGCCAGGACCTGCCTGCAGCTGATGCTGGACAAATGCTTAGATGCCCGGACACATACTTGGAAAAGAGGCTCCCTCCATGGCTGCTGAGCCCCAGAGGCTGGGCTCTGAAGCAGAGATGAAGACCTGGGGTGCAGCAGAACCCCACTGCCCCAGCCCAGGGGGATCTCAACGTTCTCTCCTAACCTGACTCCCCACTGCATGTTCCCCCTACAGGACGCATGTTGGAAAGACCAACATTCTACGTCATTCACAGACATTCCAGAAGAACCCAGTGTGCAGGCCCGCCTTTGAGGGCAGACTGGCCTGCTTCTGTGGAGAGGATGCAGTGTGGTCTGGGTTCCCCAAAATGGCACTCCTGGACATGGACCTATTCCATACAGGAGAAGTTTTTCCATGGAGAAGGCTTTTAACCTAAATGAATGTGAACATCAGCAATGGCCCACTGTGGCTGATTCGGCAGTGAACTGTTTTTCTTGGAAACTGAAATGCTATAATAGCATAAAAGCTCCTGTCGAGAGGCCCAGTGAGTTTACCATGGTCATTATCCTACATTAACTTATGTTCTTCTGCTCGCTTGTCTTTGGCCACGGTTCTGCCTCCCTGCAAAAAATGGACATGTGCTGAAAGGATGTGCAAATATGCCACCTCTCTGTCTTTAGGTACCTTCATCTCCATCATTCACCTCAGCCCTGGATTCTTGCCCATCTCTTGCCCCTCTTGAATGATGAGCTTAAGGTCCTGTTTTTCCTAACAGCTTTTGATATCAGAGACAGACACCAAAAGGTCAGGAAGAAGATGGTAACAGAAGGGACAGTGAGAAAAGGCAGTGACTTGAATTATAAAATTAATTTTATTATACCATTCTTTTCTACGGTAAGAACGCTTTAGATGAGATCGACCCTCTTAATGCATATTTATACATTATTGTTGACCTTGGCACGACATTGTAGGCAGATCTCTAGAGTTTATACATCTTGCTTAACGGAAATGTTGTGCCCTTGGTCAGTAACCTCACCTTTCCCTCTCCCTCGGCCCTGGCAATCACTCTTTGATTCTACAAGTTTGATTCTTAGACACCTCGTGTAAGCAAAATCGCGTGTATTTGCTTTTCTGTGCTCCTTTATTTCACTTAGCGTAAGGCCCTCAAGGTCATCCATGTTGCAACGCATTGTGGAATTTCGTTCCTTTTGGAGGCTGGATAGTATTCCACAGTACGTATACACTATCTTTTATTTCTCCACTCATCTGCTGATGAACATTAGGGTCGTATCCACCCTTTGGCCATAGTGAATAATGTTATGAACATGGGGGTACGATGGCTCTTTGTGATTCTGATTTCAAT